GGGACCGTGACCTCGAACTCGCGTCATACGGCTTCACTTTCGACTATGCTCCAGGCTCCTAGGACCGTGACCCCGAACTCGCGTCATACGGCTTCACTTCCGACTGCGCTCCAGACTCCTAGGACCGCGACCCCGAACTCGCGTCAAATGGCTACGCTTTCGACTATGCTCCAGACTCCTAGGACCGCGACCCCGAACTCGCCTCGTCAGGATCCACAAGCTCCGGCTTGACCGATTCCTAAACTAACTAAACTAACTCTCTCGATCCATGGCGCGCACCAACGCCTGGGTCCGCTCGCGACTTCGCCTCGCCCGATCCCACAGCGTGCATCGATGCCAAAGATCAATGAGCTCTGTCGCATCCGAACTAAGCTATCTCCATCCGCGGCGCGCACCGACGCCAGGGTTTGTCCCAAACTAACTCCCTCACCCGATACCTTGGCGCGCATCGACGCCAGGATCAGTGAGCTCTCTCACGTCCGAACTAACTTTCTCACCCGATCCACGGCGCGCATCGACGCCGGGATCAGTAAGTTCTGTCTCAATCCAAATCCCCGTGCCTAAACGCCTCGACTGCACAACGGCGCCTTGGTTAAACAAAAATCCGTCTCAGACTAAAAAACACGCACACACGCCCGCTAAAACAACACCCCCCAGACGGTTCTGTCCGAACCGCCCGGGGGCTCGGGGCTACACCCGCCGAACAACAGAAAAACCTCCCCCGCTGACAACGCAGAAAAAACCCCCCAGGCGGTTCTGCCCGAACCACCCGGGGGCTCGGGGGCTACACCCGCTAGTGCGCTCGCGCGCACCCACCGGCAAGACAAAAATCCCCCGGACGATTCTGCCCGAATCGCCTAGGGGCTCGGGGGCTCCTGTCGGGTTCATAAACCCGGGGTCCCTCGGGGACCGGCTTCCACGCTAAGGCTCGACCCGAGAGTCTAAAAATAACAGGGCAAAGGGGCGGTCCAGCAACCGACCGGAAGGCCTAGCCCAAGAAGAGCAACGCCCGCTCGTCAGCTACTTCGGCCCACCTATCCGACCGGAGCGCTCGCTTCGGGCTCCAGCCGCCTCCGGACGGCCTCTCCGATCGGAAGGCCTGCCCCGAACCCTACTTCCGACTCCGACCCCGTGTCTCTTCGACCGGGGTACGTAAGAACCCTGCTCACCGCTCTTCTTCGATCAACGCAACAAGCCGATCAGGGCCATCCGACCGGGACGCCTTTGCTTTCGGAAAGGACCAGGACGAACGGAGAAAGCAAAGACACGAAAGTGAAACCACGGTATAGGAACCATACCCTGTACACTGCAGGAACGGTGCTCCACAACCGCCGACACAAACAAAGATTGTAGGCGCCGACATTTATCCCTATAGTATTTTAGGCGACGTTGACACTCCCGTACGGCAAAAAGCCCCTCACATGCCTCTGGACATCAATAGTGTTGTAGGCGTCGGGATTCACCATGCCCGGTAAACGTGGTGAGGCTCCTCACATGCCTCTAGGCAAGCACTATTTTGTAGGTACCGACATCAACCCTTCCTGAAGAAGACAACATAACCTCCCACGTGCACCTGACATTCTATAGTAACATCAACAGTGTTGTGGGCGCCTACCATTATCCAATCCTCATCGGCGTGGGCAACAAGGCTTAAAAGCATCCGTACCCTCTCCCTCTCACCTGTAAAACCATCCCCTTCATCTATAAAAGGGGATACACTCCCTCCAGCAGGAGGACCGATTCATTCAAGCTTAGTTCCTTTATATTCATTAGTCCAATAGCTCACAACCACAGAACCGTCAGGTTCGGACCTCAAGCACATGCTTGAACACTTAGCTCATAGCGGAGTTCCCGTCGCTCTTGGCCCTTCCGACCGGAGCCGACCGGGCCTCTGATACCCCCGTCTTTCTTCTTCTCGTTTGTAACCTCACTGCAGACTTCGAGCACCTGGGCTCTGGAATAAAGTCACCGATCAACCCAAACTGGACGTAGGGCACGTTGCCTGAACAAGTATAAATCATGTGTCATTGAGTGCTATGCCACTTCTAATCACAACGTACAGCAAAACTAAAAATATTCACTAGTTGGTCACTTTCTATACCGACACCGGCTGTATTATTTCCTCTCTCTCTCTCTCCTCTCCTCTCTCTTCCACGTCAGCATTCAGTCTGCTTGCAGCCTGCTATTATACTCGCTCTTAGCAGCATCTGCAGGCGCAAAGTCGTCATTGCCACTCCATGCATGAGTTTGCGAAACATTTAGTGGCTACGTACTAGTAGTAACAATAATACAATTAGGCCACTCCAAGCATGAGTTTGCGATACATTCAGTGGCTATATACAGTAGTAGCAATAATACAATTAGGGATTAATCGTGAAATGACAACCTGTAATTGTGAATAAGATCTACGTGTGTCGTCTTGTTGCTTGTTTAACACAAATGAGAAAAGACACTGCACAAATAGCATAGTTGCAGCAAGACAATTTTTGAATTAACCATCGCTCATCCAGATTTTATATGTTATCACACACCAATCAAATGGTTGTCACTGCTTGAAACATCCCAACTATCAGTACAGTCCCTAGAAGAATAGATGGAAATACTTGTGTGTGCTGTTACCTTGGCTAGTAGATTGGACAAATCCATGATGCAAAATCATATTTCTCTAACTGAAACTCTGAAAGGAAATTACATCTACTTGTGCTGACAGTCCAAAGACAATTTTATTGACAGACCCATGCAACCATATGCACTATTTAACTTAAACTTGCGCTCTGAATACCATCTATAGAGAAAGCACACATCCAAAATAGCATAGCACTTCACTTATGGTGAAGTCAGTGTGTGTCATACTTGGATTGATTAATATCTCTCGACCATGTAAACAGTATTTTTCAACAACATTCGGTAGCAAAAAAAAAAAAGAGAGTAATTTTCAACAACAAGCACATAGAATAGTTCAGTCCACTAGTAGATGCTAGCCTTAGAAAATTCATTTGCCAATACAGATTTATCTTCAGAAGTTCCTGGAAACAATTGCCAGCGTTGGAATTCACCATTATAGCTTCTTCTGATACTTCCTGCACCACAGTTCCAACAATCAGGAGAATACATATATATGGCAGCAAGGTTCATCAAACAAGCTCATGGGGAGTTACTGAAACATCCTATGAGCCAGCAAAGACAACTCAATAGCTTTGTACATCATCATATACTGTTCACGGTATGCAGAAAGAAAGGACCGGGTGATTAATCAATCCACAGACCTGAAGGGCGGCGAGCGGCCGCTGGAACTACTCGGCGGTGCCGCATTCCAACATCCAGGAGCAAGGTCTGAAGATCGGGCGAGGACGAGGCCAATCTCCTCCCCCTCCATCTCCGTCACCGTCACCATAGCCGTGGCCGCGACCGATGGGGATGGGAGCTGCCTCTGCTGGGTTGTTGCCGTGACCGAAGGGGTGGGGGAGGGCCGCTTTGATGTTGCCGCCGCGTCCAACTGTGGTGGAAGTTGTCGCCGCCGCCGCGGCCTTGATCTTCCCCACCGACGCCACGCCCTTCGGCTCCAACGCTGCTGTCGCGCTCGACATTTAGAGCCCGTTTGGCCGGGCTCCTGCCGGCTCCGACTCCCACACTGTAGCGCAACTGTAGTGCGCAGGAGCTAGAGCCGGGGGAGAAAAAAAAATGGGCTTCTCCGGCTCCGGCGCTGTCAGTGAGAGAGGAAAGGAGGAGAGAAAAAAACGAATTCGGTAAACAGTGTCGGGATATGAACTGGGGAGCAGTCAGAGGATCCGAAGCCCGACCAAACGGGCTCTTAGATCCGCTCGGGGGAAGAAGGACGAGGAAACGACATACATGGTGATCAAGACCGTCAACCGTACGCTGGAAGGAGCCCCTCCTCCGCACTCAATACTCCATCAGTCCATCTACCGCCCTGCCGGCCAACCAGCCTCCATACATGCTTTTCGTCCCTCTCTCATCCACGTCAGATCCACGGTGTCCTGCTTACCTAGCCATTCATGTCCGTTCCCAATCTCCACGCCCGCTCCCATTCATGTCCGTTCGATCATGGTGGGTACCTCCCGCCGGTTGTACCAAATCCGCGTTCCATTTTTGTGTATCAAACACTGTCCTTTTTCACTGACACTCTGACAGTAGTTTGTTGGACCGAATTTACACGGCATCGAGCAATTAGGGAGGACATTAAAAAATGACAAATAAGAGAAAATGCTAGTGAGTTGATCAGGCATCGGTCAACTGACTAGGGTGGCCTGAAAATGAACCGAGAAAGACTCGCATAGGCTTCGTTCGGCTTGCTGAAACTTGGTTGAAAGTGGCTAAAAACACTGTTCTGGCTGAAATGTTGCGAGAGAAAAATACTGTTCCGGCTGAAAAAAGAAGCCGAACAAGCTGGATATAAGGTAAGTCGAACGGGGACATATTGGCTTCATCTACCAGAAATTGCCGGTGACAAGCAACCATGACTTTTCCATGTTCCTTGTCTAGTGCTGTGCGGATGAAATATTCCTAGGCTGTACAGTAATTCACCTTGTTTCCCTGCCCTTGTTTGTTACTGCACCATTCTACAATTGATTTTCCACGAAACTTCAATGCAACTCTTCGAGCTCTATCAACTTAATGCCTGTTGGCCTATTCCATTCAAACATGGAATAAGTAGCTAGATATTCTCATCGTTGACGAAGACTTCTTGACCAAATTTTCCATTGCAGAGACCATCATGCACACATTCCCTCTCAAAGCCTTGGACATCACTGTCTTCTCTTTAAGTTCTCATCTTACCACGCCGTGCGATCCCCCAAGACATATCTATACACAGGAAGGTGTCCACCATTCACGACTGCAATTCAATCAAACTCTGCTGTGAGGCAAAATGCAAAAATGAGCCAACACGTTGGGCTTGGGCCAAGACAAAACAAAGTGGACTTTGGGCCGGGCCCAGCTGGTCAACTCTACACCGACGATGAGGTGACAGGGGAGCGGGGATGGAGAGGGACGCAGTGCGCGGCTGCGGGGCCGAGCGTCGTGGGGAGAAGGAAGAGCGCGTGTCGCCGGCCGCCGGAGCAGACGGCCGAGGTGACGCCACCCTTCCCCACCACAAGCGCAAGCGCTCTCGAGGAGTCAAGGTATGGTCGCTTTGCTCCCCAGTCCCCACCTCACAGTCCAGAGTCCACAGCCTGTTATTCTGTTCCGATTGCAGCAGAAGCAGAGTAGCCTGGCTTAGTTGAATAGTTGATGCATTGCAATTCGCAACAGGAGGGTCTGTGGTTGAACTAGCCTACGAGGAATAGTAAAGCACAAATAATTAATGGCTCGTATGTGCAATTTTAATACTGTAGACACAGGATAATCCTCCTTTTAGCTTCAAAGCTTTATGATCTTCTTTTGGGTATTTCTGATCTATTTTATTCTTCAGAGATAATCCTCTCTCTTTTTTCCTCAGTTGCAGTTTTGTGTTTGATTTTATACAGACATGGTCCCTTTTTCCCCTCAGTTGCACTTTTTGTGTATCAAACACTATCCTTTTTCACTGACACTCTGACAGTAGTTCGTTAGATCGAATTTACAAGGCATCAAGCAATTAGGGGAAACATGTTTGAAATAAGAGAAAATGCTAGTGAGTTGATCAGGCATCGGTCAACAGACTAGCGTGGCATGAAAATGATCTGACGAAGACTCATATATTGGCTTCATCTACCAGAAATTGCCATGACTTTTCCAAGTTCCTTGTCTACTGCTGTGTGTGGATGGAATATTTTCAGGCTGTATTCCACCTGCTTTTCCTGTCCTTGTCTGTGACTTAAGTGCAACTCTTCCACATCTGTCGAAATGATGCCTTTTGGCCTATTGCGTTCAAACATGGAACTAATTAGCTAGAGAGGTTCTCATCTTTGACGAAGACTTCTTGACAAGTTTCCCTTGCAGAGAGCTACCAGAGAGCAGAGACCATCATCAACAAGAAACCTCAGCCCTCTCGATCAGGCTTGTCTACCACGTTCCCCCCTCTAAGCCTTTTACATCACAGTCTTCTCTTTGACTTTAAGTTCCCATCTTACCACACCGTGGGATTTTGCCCTCAAGACATATCTATAGACAGGATAGCTGTCCACCGTTCACGTCCATGCAATTCAACCAAAGGTATGTTCTTCCTCCCATTAATTAAGCTAAATCATTTCCTGTAATCCAAAGTTCATGTGTCTAATCTCTCATCCAAAGTTCATGTGTCTAATCTCTCATCGATACTGTTATCTGTTGAATATCGTGAACAGGGAAGGGATATTGTAGATGCTTCAATCCTAATGGCGGAGATTGTCGGTTCTGCAGTTGTTCAGGAGTCAGTAAGCCAAATCGTATCTGGTCTGCTTCAAAAATATGAAGATAAACACAACTCAAATGCGTTCCGAAACCTTGAGAGGCTAGAGATGGCACACATCAGGCTGGAGGCTGTTCTTCAGACATCTGATAAGTGGGATATCACTGATACATCCTTGTTGCGTTGGCGTAGGAAGCTTAAGTCTGCTGCTCAAGAGTGTGATGACACGCTGCACAGATGCAGGCAGAGAATCCTAGAAGATGAACACATAGAAAAGGAAGTAAGCAATTCCTCCCTTCCTAAGCGGGTTGTGCATGCTACGAGGTCATTCGTTTCTTCTATCTTTAACCACAACAATGATGACTTGAATATATCCATTGTTCAAAGATTTGAATGGTTTGCTGATGGTGCTAGCGAGTTTCTGAGATTACTAGAGCTTGGTGGCACGCCACGGTGTCACATGCCCTTTGACCCTCTTATCAAGCACCTTCTTGCTGGCAAGATACTACAACATAGAATCATTAGAGCAAACAAGTGCCCATTATTTCTACTGTTAGTGCCATTTATAACTGCAGATCATGGAATAGAAGGTAGGATTTACTTCATGCAGAAAGATTGTAACGCGTCGGATGATGATTTTTACCTTAATATAGCGCTACAGCTTTCAGACAGTACAGACATAGTTGGGGTTGCAATTCAGTGCTTACAGCTGTTTGACCATCTTTTCAAGTCTACAGTTGAAAAAATTAGGAAAGAACTTATGCAACTACCTACAGAAGAATTCTCGTGGCTTCCATATGTTGATTCACCCCAGCAAAATTATTGGGACAATCTTCACAGGCGTGTCACTCAATGGTTTCGCCCAAACCCATTATGTTGCAAGCAGCATGATAACAACAACTTTTTTCATGGTAGCAGGCTAGACAAATCATCTGGATTTCCATATGTTTCTCTAGAACAGGTTATTCATGTAAGTCTATCGTGCCATGTCTCACTCTCAGAGTGCGACAAACAGAAGGCCTCACAGTCAGACTGTAGAAGTTTTCTACGTGATCATCCATATCTGAGAGCTGGAGTCGTCTTTGCACTACATGGCTCTTCAGAAGACGTGTTGCTTGTGGATAAGTTTCCTGCAATAGCGGCAATGTACAGTGAGGAGCAACATTGTTTGCATACTGTCTTTACCTTGGGACAACTCGAGGAGATCATGCTGCCAAAAGCAGTAGATTACTTCTGCCAGAATGAGGAAGCTACAGTCTACCAGATTCTTTGGAGGTCTAGGCATGGCACTGCATACATTCAGGTTGAGAGAGCAAGCATGTTCATGCCAAGCACACGACAAACGTTTCATGGAGCTAAGAGAAGGAAGCTATTGCAAGGACAGGGTGAGATGTTGGAGTGTGTAACATATAGGGCCTCTCGATTCCTTGAGTTATGGGCTACATATGCACCCATCCAATTGCATGGCTCGATCTTCATATGAGGAAATAAAAGAAAACAGAAGCAGCACATCACTGCCGCCTGAAATTCGTGATCACATCTGTACCATGGATCCATCAGCAAAAGATGGAGAAGCCATAAAAGAATGGAGTGTTCCATGAAAAGATAGAAGTGTGGAATTTACTGTTCATAACCGAGAACAGATTTGTCAAAACAACAGATCCAGTGCATATATTTTCAGATCTTGAATTTTGGGATAGATGCTCTGACTACAGGGTCAAGACAAAACATAGAAGCAGAGCTACAGCACGGAGGAATTTATGTGTTACTCACTAGCTAGCAACTTGTGTATAATGTTGGTCTTAGTTGAGAACCCTGTTCTGAATTAGGAATGTATGTGAGCATTCTGTATGGTGGTGCTTATATATTAATCATGATCGTATAGTGTCTGTCCCATGGTTACAGAATTGCATTGTACAAATAAGTATAAGATGCAACTGCATTTTAACTACCGTTTTTGTGTGTAATCACGTAGTACTGTTACCTACTACATTCAAGAAACTAAACATTAAATTTTTATATGTTTATTACTTATGAATTATTCCTTTATTATTGAATCCAGCAAGTTTTAGTTTGATGAGAAACTGTCAATTCTATAATCTCATGTCGCCTAGGCATGGGCACTGGGAAGGCGGGATGAGGGAGCTCTTTTACAATGGTTGAAAAAAGTACCACCGTACTTCTAGATACTTCCATTTTTTCCTATTTTCTAGTCATTTAATCGTGGAAGATTATTTATAAAATTAAAATTTTATATTATTAAGGGTGTATTGGTAATTATTTGCTACATGCTCTGCAGACCGATCTTGCCGTCCCTGGGCGGCATCGGCATCGCCATGCTGACACTGCTAGACGTGTCAAGCAATGTGCTCACTGGTGCATGCAGCTCATCAACAGCTCAAGCTCTCGCTCAACAACAATCAGCCAGGGTCACCTGAACTCGGCAGTTTAGTGTCCCTCAACGTGCGGTCGAGAACTCCGCCCATTTGGTCAGCCGAGCGGTCAAGAATGGCAAGGGCCGGGCTGCCTGCACGGAATGACGGGATCATGGCAAGGTCCAGGATCTAGTGGCCTGCAAGCTCGGCCTAGCATTGCTCCTGCTCGTGTGTTCCCTAGCTTCCGTTCAGCTCCCAGCTACTGCTAATACAGGGCAGTCGAGACCGAGCTCTGCCTTGCCTTGCCGGAGTTGAACAAGAGGCATACACAGCTCTGCCTTGAATAGTTGCAGAAGAGGGGCGTGGCCAGCACGACATCAGGACCGGTGCCCGTGTGCACGAATGCCTTGTTGGAGAAGCGCGTGAGTCCACTGCTCCTCGGCTGCCCTGTGCCGGGGCCTCCGGGGATGCGTGGCAGGAGACGGCTGCAGGTCCAGGAATGCGGATGGCAAATTCCAGTTTTACTACTGACCTTACTAATCTTGATACCGTCCTTACTTTTATAGTATTTCTAAGAATTTCTAAGATGACAGGGCTCTAAATGACTATGAGCGGTACATTCAATGAGATCGGATGGCTAGTATGATATATTACTTCCTATGAGGTAATATGTGAAATATTAATTTATTTATTAATTAATTTGGTAAGATATTATAAACAAGGAAAGTTTAGATATAAAAATCTTTTTCTAGATCTATTTGATATGGTAAATCCTTTTACTTTGCAACTTTCATCATTGCATAATTTGATTAGTATATACTACCATAATAGCTAATGTACGTAACATAATTTGATTATTTTTTTGAATTCAACATAATTTGATTATTTGATTAGCATGTAACTTTTTGTTCCCCTGTACATGATAGCTACATGTTTTAGCGTGTTTCGTTCCCAATGTTCATTAGTTGACATGCAATATGTTTTAATTTAGATGTTCCCAAATTTTTTTTGTAGGTAACATGTTTTTTCAAGTAATTACGTAATATGGTGGTGTGCGCACGGAGAAAAAAAAACGCCTCCTCGCTTTGTGCTGGTACACTGTGCACCGATGGGAAGGAGACCGCTTTTTTCTAATCACGGAGGCAAGTGTACCCCCACTTCGTTTGTCCCAGTGATTACTAGATTTTAGAGATTTCTCTCTCATTTATTAGGTAATTTATTTATTTGTTTAATTTATAAAATCTAATAAATCAATGGCTAAGATTGCTTCGAACTATTACCTCCTAGTAGGTAATAGTTGTACCATAGCACTGCCCTTATAAATAATATTGTTCAACTTTTTTCATCATGTTGTCATAAAGTACACATATAAATGCTATGTATTCTTCAAGCAAAAATTTAAAAGAACCTAGTTCTGAAACTAATGTACCACTAAACTAGTATTTCTTTACTTTTGTTAATTGAAATAAATGTTTTAAATAAATGAATTATATAAATATTTCAACCGTTATCATTCAAGCATGTAAACTTGATCTCATATACTAAATAAAAATATAATGAATGTTCATGATAAAAATAACTAATACCAAACCCTAGTTTACTATCTAGACATAGATGCAAACAATCCCTTCATAAATACTATTAAATAGACCACTAAAATGAACACATGGCCCCTTATCCTATCATATATTCTTATAAAGCTAAACACCACTAGAGATTTCTCTCAATATGCAAGCCTATCCACATCAACAATCCACTAGAACTTGCAATTATAGCCAACTATCACATGTAATTATGATAGTTATATATTCATCCACTAACATGCATTTAGCTGTCTACATCGATGTGTCAAACCATTCACCAAAGTTAATTTAAGATAGTTTCATTCATATACCTATAAATATAAATAGTCTAATTTCTTTTTAAATTATCTGGAATCCCCGCAGCAACGCGCGGGGTGTTCTCCTAGTACTCTTATAAAGCTAAACCCCATTAGAGATTTCTCGCAACATGCAAGCTATCCACATCAACAATCCATTAGAACATGGAATTATAGCCAACTAGCACATGTAAATATGATAGTTATCTCTTCATCCACTAACATGCATTTAGCTGTCCACATCGATGTGTCAAACCATTCACAAACCCCACTAGAGATTCTTCTCAACATGCAAGCTATCCACGTCAACTTTCACTAGAACTTGCAATTATAGCCAACTAGCACATGTAATTATGATAGCTATCTCTTCATCCACTAACATGCATTTAGCTATGCACATCGATGTGTCAAATCATTCACCAAAATTAATTTAAGATAGTTTCATTCATATACCTATAAATATAAATAGTCTAATTTCTTTTTAAATTATCTGGAATCCCCGCAGCAATGCGCGGGGTATTCTCCTAGTTTCACACAACTAATAAAAAGACTAAAGAGTGGACACCGTTTTGGTGCGACAATCGAATTAGGGGTCGTCGCTCTACCCGTGCGATCCGCGGCCTCTCTCACGCGCGTGAATGCTCCCTCCGGCAAAAAGAAAGGAAACTCGTCCGCACGAACGCTTCGTCCGGCAAAAAAAAGGAAGTCGTGTTCCCAATCAGTTCCCCATGCGATCTCCTTCCCATGTCCCGCGCGCTCCCAAATGCTCTTTCCAAAATCCCACCTCCAATAACGCTCTTTCCCATCGCGCAGCCGCGCCCGCGCGCCTCAACCTGCGTTGTAACACTCTAAAATTTACAACATTTTAAAATAGTGGAAATTAATTTATTATTCATTTTTGTGAGCATTTGAATTTAGGAAAAATAATAAATTTTATCAAATTAAAATCAAATGTAGGTTCATAATCATGTGTGTGCATTCATGATGCTGCATAATGGTTTTTGAATGGTTTGATTTGAAATCAAATTTCTACTTGATTCGAATTTTGCCTTCAAAATTGGTTTGAAAAATAGAAAAGGGATTTCTTTCTTCCTCACCTTCCTTTTGGTCCGTAGGGCCTGCTTGACTTTACGCCAAACCCATTCTTCCCAAGCTTGGCCCATCTCCTCGGCCTGCACCTTCCCAGCCCGGCCAAATTTCAGGCAGCGCTGTGCCGCGCCTTTCCTCCGGCCACTGACCGCCCTAGCCCACAGGTCAGGGGCTTCTTCTCCTTCGCGTCGTACTCGGTCGGACACCACGCCGATGTCCGTGTCCGGCTCTGCTACGCTCCGCGCCATGCCTCCCAAGCAATCTTCGCCTCATAAATAGCCGGAGCCGCCTCTGCCGCCTCCCTATCCCATCTAGCCGCAAGCTTTTTCGCCCAACCCAGCCGCAGCCGCGCCTCGCCCTAGCGCCGCCGCGACAGCCGCCGACCGCCAAAGCGTCGCGCCGCCTCCGTTGCTCCTCGCTAGCTCCTCTTGGGTTCGTTGAGTCCGCCGTCACTCCCTCTATCTCCCGGTGCTTCTTTTTCGTTTAACCGAGCACCGTTGGCCGCCAAAAGTCAAGCTCGGCCGAGCCGCAATGAATGCCGCCGCCATGGCCGCAAAACCTCGCCACGACCCTATTTCGGCGTGGATTTCTCTCTCCCCCCGCCAGATCAAATCTCAGCCGTCCAGTTCTAATCCGACGGTCTCAAATCCAAGATACCCCTTCGCCGCCAGTTTTTCAAAAACACCCTTACAATTATTTCAGACTTAACCCGCAGTCCAAAGCGTGTTTTCAAGATTCTGTTTTCTCCTTTGGAAAGCGTATTTCGGTTCGGTTAGATTAAAAATACGTTTTCAGTTATTTACAGTTTTGCCACTCAACTTGTTTTAGCCATAAAATCTCCGTTTTAACTCCGATTTGATCCGTTCAAGTTGCGTTAGGTTCATAATTAAGTAATCTACATGTTTGTAATACTGTTAAGTAGGTTTTCAACTTTTAAAATTTGAGGTTAGATTTAATCTATTATTTTTCTATAGGAAATCTTGTTTAATTCATAACTTCTTCGTTTTAGCTCCGATTTTTGTGATCTTCGCGTCTGTGTGTTCGTAGCGAGACATAGATTTGTTTTCCAAACTTTTCATTTTGGTTTTATGCTATTGGTGTACTGTTCTAATCTATAGCTTTGTTTGCTTTGCATGATTG